AAGAAAAATGTCTCTACATGTATACTATACCTCTTTTAGTTCCTACCAGGTCAACAAGCTTAGCGGCATCCTCTTCTTCCGACTGGCTGAAAAATAACACACAAAGTTAAATATCAAATACTTCTAACTGCCAAGTTCCAATAGAAATAAAACTATGATTAATTTCATTTTTAGTTTTTTAATGATGATAGTTTAAACCAATGAAACAATTAAGAAAAATGCTTTGAAAATCATGTAATAAACTAGTTGTTCAGACATTCAATTATTACCAACTATCTTAAACTTTCATGGAATATAAATTAACACAAATTTTGAAATTTTTAAATATACTACCGAAGTTCCCTTACTTTTAAATGTCGTCCAACAAAACAAATATGGTCATCAATTTAATCAATTTTAAAAAAGCTATTATTGTCACAAAATAACACATGAAATCTTTACTACTATAGTTAAGATAATCAAACTAATATTTACAGAATGTGGGTGACTTATGTTTGGTATTTCTCCTACAGCCTGTATAAACTCTTGCCTTACTTTCTCTTTCTCTCCTGGCTGAAGCAAAAAGAAAAGGTAATTTTTTCATATAGCCTTACCTTAATATTAGGGCCTATCATTAGTGAAAATAATTTTTTGGTCATACTCTTTTCCATGTTACATGAAAAGGTACTAGTATATAAATGCATGTTTAATTAATATAAAAAAATACCGTATATCAAATAAGAATAATCAATTAATTTTGTGAATGCAAAGAATACTAAATGTAAAACTAAGCTTTCAAGTCTTTTTTAATTTGTTTTAATATGCAGTTATATTTTAACACATGCAAAAAAATAAACTATGAAAAGTGAACAATTTGTTTCTTTTTTTATCATTATAACTTTTAATGACAAATAATGACTAGTAACTATAATGTTTAAAGCCTTTTCACAAAATTCACGAAATTCGGCAGCATTCGTTAGAGACACTGGGAGGTAACTCTGGTTTTGATTTAGAAAAAAAATGTTTGAAATATGTTAGTTCTGGCTCCCATAACTTTATATGTCGCTTTTATTTAACTTTATATGTCGCTTTTATTTTGACGTTTGGTCTATCAGTGCTATAAAACCTGTTTGCTGAAGTCTCTTTAGCTAGAAATATGTGTGCATTCGATATCTGAAATTTAAAAAATGGGTCAAAGACAGAAAAGGCCAGGTTGCATTTGTATACCAAATATAGGCTGTGATGTTACAAAAAATGTTTACCATTGACCATTAATGTCAAAAATTTAACTAAGTCGGTAAACAGGAAGTGGATGAGCGACAGACCTGAAATCGAATCCCACAGTATGGGACCATGAGGCAATGCTGTATGCTTAATATCAAGAAGCTGTGATAAGTAGTTGCTGCGAAAAACTGTTACAAAAATTCCTCCTACCATTGTCCATTAATGTCGGAAATTTAACTATGTAGATAAACAGGGAAAAGGATGAGCGACAGATTTGAACTCTATCCCACCGTATGCAACCCTGTGTCAATGCTGTATGCCAAATATCAAGAGGCTGTAATGAGTAGTTGCTGAGAAAACTGTTACAAAAATTTCCTACCACTGACCATTAATGTCGAAAATTTAACTAAGTTGTTAAAACAGGAAGTGGATAAGCGACAGACCTGAAACCAAATCCCACAGTATGGGACCATGTGTCAATGCTGTATGCCAAATATCAAGAGGCTGTGATAAGTACTTACTGATAAAACTGTTACGAAAATTTCCTACCATAGACCATTAATGTTGAAAATTTAACTAAGTTGGCAAACAGGAAGTGGATGAGCGACAGACCTGAAATCCAATCCCACGGTATGGGACCATGTGTGGATACTGTATACCAAATATCAAGAGGCTGTGATAAGTAGTTGCTGAGAAAACTGTTACATAAGTTTTCGCCGCCAGCCCGGCGCCCGCCCGGCGCCCGACATTCACCATACTATAACCAGGGTTTGCACCAGTGCAACCCGGCCAAAAATGGAATCGATATCAAATCGAATAACAAAGATCGTTGATACACCGATATCGATTGAATCGATTACACCCCTACATTTGAGACACATAAAGCAACCATGCTTCAACTCCTTTTTTATCTTTAAATCCTCAAAAAGAAATTTTAATCAGGTAAATATTTTAAAGTTTTGATAAAATTTTAACACACTTACATTTGTTTCATTGACAAACTTTCTGTGTAGATCAACCTACAGAATTAAAGGAAATAACATTGAATGTTTTCAATGAGAAAAATCTGCCTCATCATGTACTCACTGTTGATTTAAATCATTAATGACATATATTTTATAGTTATGATCAAATAATGTCAACCTAAATAGACTAAATAGGCTAGTAAAGGAGGTTTAATAATAAATTTATGACAACTGATGCACATTTTGCCTCTCCCAACCTGGCTTGTAATTTTTATGGGTATGCATTCAATTTATTTTAATGATGAAACAAATCAATTATCTGTTGTTTTTTTAAATTTTAATTCTGTGTTAAATATCAGTAATTAATTAGACAGGTATGGTAAATCTAGATGTCTTGAAAAGTACTTCACCCTGAACAATGAAAAATATTTATCAAGTATTTTTCACAAGACTTTTTTTAAAGTTATACATTTAGTCACCGTTAAAGATATTGAGTGTTTATAAGTGCATAACTTATAATGTTTGTACATATAGAGTATATAAAGGACTCCTTATACATACCACTAAATCTATATTTCCCACTCCTTTTCTTTGTGCAATGTTATCTCTGATAGCATCATGATTGGCTGGGTCCAATATGTAGTCAAAAGCATACTCTGGCTCTGAAGACAAGTTTGAAATGTTAAAAAAATGCAGGCTATTTCAATTGCATGTTTGTCTTCACAATATGTTTTTAAAATATTTCATTTGTTTAAATTTGGCTTGCACATGAACTGTGTGATAAAATCTATAAGTAGAATGTAAATACTTATGTTATTGACAGGTAAACCTACACCTTACCTAAATAACAATTTAAATTGTTTCTTTACCTTTTAACTGAAAAGGGACATTCCACTGGTTATATTTGTCATGTTTAGCATCAGTGCTTGTGGAAGATTCAGTGCTACAGGAGACACTGGTGTGTAAACATTGTATTTGTCTCCTCAGTCTTGACCATGATAATGTGTGGTTCCTCCTTAGCAGAAAAACATGCAGATCTGACAGCCCTCATTCTGTCCAAATATCCTAAATAAACATTCTTGCATGACAATTTAAATCAGAAATTAAAACATAGTTGTAATTACCATAAAGTTTTTATTTGCCTGATGTCCATAGTAACCATATTATCTCATCATGCTACATAAAAAAGTGGGCAACAGTGTCCCAAGATCACTCACCTGAAATCTGTTACAGGAGGGGATTTTTACCCCATGGGTATGAGTTACATAACTTTTGCACAGATCACAAATCACCTTCATACCAAACATCTAAGCTGTTGGCATTATACATGTAGTTTCTGATGAGAGGATTTTGAAAGTTTTCTTTAAAAGTTTATGTTACAACAAAAGTGCCATATATAAAGCTTTGGGCAAATTTTAACATTTTCATTTTTTCACCTCAAACTGGTCATTTGAAAAAACTTGGTAGAGGTCAACTAGGAGATGCTATTAACTGTATATTTTATATATGACTTAGGAGAAAAAGATTCTTTTCCTATTTGAGAGTATGCAACTAATCTCATATTTTGTTTTATTTTTGTAAATACATGAAAATGTCATGTAGAATTTATTATTTAGGTGTTGTGTATATTTAAATGATTGTAATTCTGTTTAGACTTGGTCAGTGTAAAGCTTTAATTTATACATTAAATGCTGTTTTTCAAATATCTTTCTCTTCATGTCTATTCGTAAACAAGTACGAAATTATTAGGGTATTAGGATACGTCTACAGACGTCAACCAACCAATATGTGTTTAATTGCTTAATAAATTTACGCAATATATTTTCCAATCCAAGAATTCAATTGACATGCTGCAAATAATTTAATTTACGATAAGTGTTTATCAATGAAGTATACAATTACATACTGTATTGCCTTCTGAAGTTTATAAACAAAATCACGACACATGGGCGCAGACATCTTTTTTTTGTAGTATTTCACGGCACTTTATTTCAATACACGGATCAACTTGACTGGACCCTCATCAATCTCCAGTTTTAAGTATATTTGTCATGCTTGGCAAAAAAAGAATATCTGATTCTGTAAAATAGCAACGTTCATAGAAATCAACACATTTAAAGCTTAACGAAGCTTTATATCACAGTAATAAAGTTATACAAGTATACAGCTGTAGTGTGATGAGACTCGTTTTAAATAATTACTTGGACATTGATTTAAGATATTAAATTCATATTGGACTAGAAACTACGTCGCAATATCAACATGTGCTAATCAATTCTAATATGTTTGGAAAGTCCCCGTATAAAGAGTCAGCTGTCACATTTATCTTCCTCGCCTATATTTGTATTTCTTTAACAGCAAATGAATCTCTTGGGTACCCGTAAATATGTAGTAGAAGTTATTGAAACAAGGTCATGTCGGTAGCAACATCATATATTGAGATTATTCATAATTATGACCTTAAATACGCGGTTGAAATTCTTCTCTGATAAGAGGCATGGACTGTTTTAATAGCAGGCCCATTTAAAATCAGTCTGTTTAAAACCAGAATGAAGATTGTCGTAGGTCTTGCGGATAATTATCGTCTGCTCGGCACAGGTGCCAACACCATGTCGTAAGTCAATTTAATTATCATTAATGCAAATTCAGAACATAAATTCGTTATAAAATTAAATAGAACATTTTCGTTTTCTATAAATTTAATTAATGTCACTTTATAGACAACTCTCACAATTGTATAAGAAATTTCAATTTCCGAGAAATTTTTATTCACGACAACGCACTTTGAAATCACTTTCTAAAACAGCTTTATATGCTTTCTAAAAACATATGGATTTTGTTGGGTTTGATGCATGAATTAATTTACTTGTAAATAATGGACTATAGCTTGGACACAATATTCTATGGTGTGAGATGGTTATGATATTACTTTGTTGACAGGGTTACAATTTAAGAAAACTTAAAACTATTTGTTCATTTTGTTCAGTATTAGCAAGAATATTTTCTTTGAATGATTTCAGAATCACCAAGCAAATGGGTTGCAAGACGTATTTAAGGTAAATATAATCATAACTATTTTCTTATTTCTTTCACGTAGAAATTGAGACAATTAATGTACATTATTAATACACGAACCTGTTTCAGAAATTAAGCAGGTATTTCTAGCAAATACGTCTGACCCTTCAAAAAATCACAGAAACTAACAGTTTTATCTGAGACTCGTTTAGTTCTTCTTTTTTACTTATATGAATAACTAATGGTGATTTGTTTTTAATTTACAAAACATTGAATAAATGAAATGGAACAGAAAAATATAAAACTTGAGTTCTCCTTTAATTAATATTCCGCAAGGAGGAGAATATCACAATGTTCCTGTCTTTCATAATATATTCTTAATTGAGAAAATGCTGATTAGTTTTTAATGAATATTTTTAAGATGGACAGATATAAGCAATATTTTGAGATTGCCGAGCATAGCTATGACGAGTTGAACAGACGGGCAGCAAGTAGAGAAAGAGCGTTGACGTTGGAAAGGAACGAGATTACTACTAAGAATCCATCTTTATAATGAGGTGAATTCCAAAATAAATAAATAAATAAATAATAAATAAATAAATAAATAAATAAATAAATAAATAATAAATAATAAATAAATAAAATAAATAATAAATAAATTAATAAAGGCATTTGAATTAAAAAAGTATAGCTATTAGAGTGAGCTACTAATATACTGTACGTATAATGAAATTACAAATATAATCCATTGTCTGTCAACTATTATGTTATTAAACCAATGTTTCGTCTTTAATTAATAGGGCTTGGACTACATGTTTAATCTGAGAACAATGTCCTGTAATGTTACAAGATTGACCCGCCCATTCCGCGTTGTTGGTGTACCACTAGACTCGAAGTTCTTGTTTGAAGGAGAGTACGGTGCAGCTGGTATCCCCGCAGGAACATTTTGACGCAGCGACTTTTGGCGGAAAATTTGAAGATGGGGGTAAAATTATCAATTTAACACAATATCAAATTTTGCAATCTCGCAACATTTAAAAAATATGGTATTTTAATTCCAGGCAGTTAAGTTCAGTTTTAAACTAAAATATTTATAGAAAATTACTTCTGTATATGAACAGACTGTTTAGAGATTGTACACTGCTTATGAAGAACCCATATAGTAAAGATCGCTACTTTGCAAATATTAATGTATCATAGAAATATGTAACTGTCTGTAAACATCTCATTCAAATACACATGTGGTAAAATCCCCGCTAAAAGCCGTGCAATGCTAGTTGAAAACAACCACGGGCATCGACCACGTATTTCAAGGGGGACAGAAAAATAATGTTTAAAAAAACTTGGCTATTATACTCGCGACCCAATGTGGAGTTACAATTAATTGACTGGTTATAAGGTAATCAAATGAATGAGCTGCATTTTCTTTACAGAGTAAGTAACGTACACAAGAAGATATGATTATCATACTGACATTAAACTTTTTATATTACAGCGGAATACCTGGTCACAGTGGCAGAACCAGATTGCATCCCCATTCAATTTGATGTCCGTAGCAATACTACCACAGAACATTTCCATGAAGCGTATGTAGCATATTTTTAATCTTTAAAACAATATTAATTATAGTGTAATTGCATACTTCATTAGTTACAGAGGACATTATCTTTTTGCTTTTCTTAATTCTGGACAGGCCCACACATGTGAGCAGCAGCATTGTCAAAAAATAATACAAGCTACGTTTTTGATAAAATTCTTGACCAGTCATCGTTGTTATAAAACATTTAGAACCGGATAGATCCTCATAATCCAAAACAATAGATTGACAATAAACTTACCTGAGAATCAATATTTTCATCAGGGAAGTTGACTAACATATTTTATCTAAATTATCCTTGAACAAGTACACGTGACAAGTATTCAAGTTGTCAAGCTTCCTTTTTTTCTCTATTTCCAATAAAGATCATTCAGAAATGTACTGAGAAGACACGGAATTGCTTACAGACGGAGAACTACGGGCATAATATTATACGCCGAAATTCTTTAGGACTTGTAAAAATGCCTTTTAAAACTTCCTACATTTATTCCTTTGGCAATGAGGCCAAGACCACGCTCCCCCTTCCCCCTCTGCTACACTATTCCATTGTAATTCCCAATAACATAAATTGATTATCTAGAAATCTAGAAATAGGGGAATACCAGAAGGGCTCCAGGCGATTAGTTTGTTTGTTGTTTGATTGAGTTTTTACGTTACACCGACACAGTATAGGTCCATATGGCGACGTTTCCAGCTTTACTGGTGGAGGAAGACTTTAGGTGCCTTCCGTGCATTATTTCAGACACGAATGGGCACCTGAGTAGAACCACGACGTTTCCGTAAGCTAGCCGGGAAGCTGAAATAATCGAAAAGTCCCTTCGGGATTCGAATTCACAGCGGTGAGGGACAAGTGGTTTGAAGACAGCGATCTTAACCTCGGCCACGGACTCCCCCCCCCCCCCCCCCCCCCCCCCCCCCCCCCCCCCCCCCCCCCCCCCCCCCCCCCCCCCCCCCCCCCCCCCCTTGGCGATTAGTGATTGGCCTCATGAAACTGAAAACGTTTAATCTAACCAGACATTTGCTTTTTCATTTTAGGAATAGTAAATATAGCTAGTTTGCAGTAACCTTGAGACTGTCAACAACTTATAGAATAAATTTACAAAATTGTGTCATAATCATTTTCACTTCCACAACGAAATGGAGTAGAAAAGCACCAGTGGCCACACTTATTTGACCATACCTCACATCAAAAGTTCAGTATATCGAAACTGGATCAAAAGAATCCGTTGAAGAGCTTCAGCTTACCGCTACATAGTAATACCCTTTGAACAAGTCTAGTTTGCGACTGGTCAATGTGATATAGTGGTGGCACTAAATTATGATGTTCTTACAGTTATTTTCTTTACAGGTATTACGACTTGAAATTGGGAAATACCAGACCCAAACTGTGTTCATACCACCAAAGGAATGCATGATGGTACCAATTCCACCAAAGTAAAAAACAAACAAAAATCATAAAAGTATGAGGCATTTGACTTTCACCATAGACATACAATCAAAAAATACTGCACTGGAAATCAAATTTGGTTTTGTGTCTTTCTATTTTTAAATATGTGAAAATTAAATGTCTGTAAAATGGTAAAAATGAAATAAAGTGTTGCAAGTACTTTTTGTTTCCCTATTCTGTGGCAAAAGTCACTGAGTTAGAGCCACATGCCCTTTACTGATGTTAAGAGTCACCTGTCCTTTGCTGCTGTTTATTAGAGCAAATGTCCTTCATTGCTGTAAGGGTGACATATTCTTTACTGCTGTAAGAGCCTCCCCTCGTTTATTGCTGTCAGTGTCACGTGCACTTTACTGCTCTGGTACTATTTTTCAAGTAGGACAAGTATCCTGCTAACTAAAGGAAGGTTTAATGATCTACCAGGTATATTAGTATCATACTCATACTGCAAAAATTGACAATACATTCATTAACACATACATGTACTACTTTACTAGTACTATTGACAGTTACAAATTAACTTTAAAGCTGCATGCCTTGGATGAGCTAAAATCATTATAGAAAATTAAAACTTCTGAAAATATGTAAAAAGATTGAAAGTTATTTTTTCGATTAAAAAACTGATATGCAGTATTTATCACCATATTTCTATTACATTATTCACACAGTAAGGGCTATTTTTTTGCATATTTTGTCCTCTTTGGTTTTGTAATTACTTTCTTTGTTCACTTTACAATATTTTACTTTTAAATACATTTTCTAAATTCTCATAAAATTAGCATGACAATCTGTAGGCCTGCTGCTTTAAAGTCACATTCAATGACTTGAAAAAATAAAATAAACTTTTAGTGTCAGGACAAATGGACTTTGTTGATAATAAGAAAAGAGATTGTACCAAATTTTCATTTTTTTATTTCCATCATTTTTACAAAGTTGATTTTAGTTTTTCACAGATGTACATGTAAAACATGTACATTTATCAGCATTTTTAATGCTTACAATTATAACAGCAAATAATTCATTGTGCCTTTAAACTTGTTTTTTACACTCTGTACTCAAAACTTAATTTATATCAAAGGTTGTTAACATACCGATTTGCAGGTATGTTATAAATAACCTTTTCATAATTTTAAAATGTGCCTAACATATCACCATTAAAATATTGCAAAATGCAATCTGATTGAAAAATGTAGACACTGAAATGTTCCTGCACACAGTAGAAGCTGTCTTGTTGGATCAGGAGAACAGGATTTGTGAAGTGTCCTGTACAATACTGTATTATCATGTCCATACTCCACTATCTACAGCCTCAAGTTGATGGTTTCACCATTGTCTGTCTGTTAAAACAATAAAAAAATACATTACACATCGAGCTTCCAGAAAAGACAATTACATATCTTATTCAAACAAACTTATTATGTACTTAGTAAATAAATCCAAGTCTTGAACAACTATGTCATCAAAAGAATTCGTGATCGTGCAAAATGTCAAAAAATTCATTTTCTATGAATTAAATCACCAAGAGCAATGTAATAGTTAAGGTCTCATATATGTCATTTAAAATCTAGCATATAATGAGTGAAATCATTAAACATGTACATTATTCATAGTTGAATACATAAACCTGTTTTTTCTCTTGTTTCTTTTTTTTAAAATATAAACATTTATACAGTCTAACACACCAGTTATTTCTTAAAATCAGATAAACTTTCATTATAAAACCAACAAAACGTCAACCATAAGCTTGCTGAATTTCTTATATGGACTTCCATTTTGTAACAGTCCATTATCATTTTTGGGGATATTAAGATAAAATCTTAACTTTGTCAGCCAACAGTACAGAGCCTGGTCAGATTGCAAGGATGTACAGGTTGGCCTGGCTCTAAACTAGTGGCAAAGGCTAAACACTTTCAATTCTGGCAGTGGAACGGTTAAGACAACTAAAGTGTACATACGTGAATCCTTTGTTTCCAGTAAGGTAGGATGTTATGGTGTTTTTCTTTGTTGTTGATTTCTCCTATTCACACAATGCTACAGTATTAATGGCGTGTCTGTTGCACTTTCATCTTCATCTTTAACTGTCAATAGTAACATTATTTGTTTAAATCTGATGTTTCTAATTTCAAGAGAATTTTTTTCTTTTGATATATCATCATCAACTGACATATTCTGAATTGTTTAAAAATGTAAACTTGACAGTTCGTTAACATCTCTAAAACTGATGAAGATATAAACAGTCTTTGACCATACAACCATGTCTACCTAGGAAATGACAGGTATATTAACATCATTATACTACCAAACATGAATCTTAAAACATGTTCACTACTATATTGAACTGTTCAATGATAATTGTGAAATTCAAATAGAACTTCTAATCTTACCAAAAAATTCTTACAAAACTTCAAATACAGAATATTATAGAATAATAATACCAGTATCTTCATTTGAGATTTTGGTTCTGTTTGATTGGATTTAGCAATCAAAGATGGCACATGACCCTTTTTTTTACATATTCTTTCTCAAAACAACCAAATAATCAACACAAATTGTGGAAATGAACAACATCTTACAAGATCATTCTTTTCTGTCTGGTGTTATTTGTTACCTAAGCAGTATATAAATGTAAATAACAAACTGTTTCACTTTCAAATGCATTTCTATTGCTAAGCTAATTATAGCCAACATGTATTGAAAGCAATAAAATGAAGGAACTTATAACAAAAGTGTGCCTTTGTGAATCACATGTTATAAATGTGTAATATTATGAAGTAGCATGTCACCAAAATTAAAACAAAGTCTTACATGCTCTCGTTCAAGTTTCTTCGCCACGTTTTTCAGTTTTCTTTTTTGCCAGATCCTTTAACTCATGAAAATCTATGAGATAATTGTCTGGAATGCTTCCTTCTGATTCAAATGGTCTTGCCTGAATTCATCAACATACTCTAGCTTTACCTCCGGTTTATAACTGTCCTTCTCTTTAAAGTCCATCAACATGCCAGTATAATCTGTTCACGTTCTTATATTTCTCATCAAGTCACTAAAGTAATGGACAATCTTTATGATAGCATTTTAAAGAGATGATAGAATAAAACATTTTAAATTAAAATGCTATTTTTGTAGCAAATGTTCATTTGTCAACATTGTCCTGACTGACTAAAGAACACATTTTTTCCATTTAGTACTGAATCATGATACATAATGTTGAAGATACAAGGTTTCCTTGGCTATGGTTCTTGAGGAAACAGTGAACATGTTCACTAATGCGATCCCACATTAATGCAAGTGTACAAGCATTGATTCCTTAAACAATTGTTAGTGCTTATGCTCCCTGATAAATGAATGCTAAAACTCATTAAAACCAGAGTCCATAGTAACCTTCAATTAAAACTTTTTATATGCCATGCCACAGACTATAATTCAATTACTTATATCCAGACTAATAAACTAACGTAACATGATTACAAACATTGATAATTCTGATAGGCGAATCAATCACAATTCTAACAGAAGTAAAACAGTTAACTTATCATATCTTTTATCTTCTATTGGAATATTCTGTGCTTGTCATTTCTAACATATTTTTGCTCATTTTCTGTGCTTCAACTTCTCTTCTGTAGATAAACCTTTCGTTAAACAGCTACACTTAAATGCTGTACCACATACCTTTGTTTAAACGGTTCATCTTCTAAAATAAGCCCCTTTCTCACCCTAAAGTGTAATAGAAAAAATATATTTTCAGCAAGCTTTTGATATTGACACAAATCAATAATTTCAATATTACATTGAAACAATGTAGTTATATCCCACAAATTTAAAAACTAACAATGAACCCTTTGTACATTGCATCTCTTTTTCCAAAGCAATTGGCATTTTTTTTTACAATATATCAGATTTTCTTACATGGATACTAGCCGATTTTTTAATCCAAATTGTCATTTAAAGATCTACAAAGTACCATAAAATTATTCCTAAGTAATATCCATAAGTATTTAATATATGGTCGTTTTTTTTCAGCTTATTTATTTTTGGTTAAAACAAAGATAGCTTAAATAAACAATTAACGACATTATTCAGATCTTTCTTCATTTGTAAGCAGCCTTCAGCTTTAGTGTTTGTTATGAAAACAATTCTGAATTGTTTAAACTAAGTATATTTCAGTAATTTTTTCTTGGAAAAAAGATATATCACTGTTAGCCTTACTTTTCAACACAGGATCCTGAGAGCCATTTATAGGTGCATCAGTGATGTTTGTTTCTTAAATATAGAAGGTCTGGAAACAAATCGTCCTCTTTCACTAATTTTACATAAAAGAGAGCGGGGACTGGTTAGATTAGAGGTATCGGGGGTTTTCTTAATTATGTTTTTATCCACAGCAAATTTTAATTTCCACCTATAATTTCTATTTGATTTGACAATTATATATGAACAATTTATCTAAAAATTACATGTTTAACCTTTAGGAAAATCTAAAGGCTGCTTATATAGCCTCTTTATGAGACATGTTTCAATGTAGCTTTGCATGATAACAATAAAATCGGTCATTAATAATATTGGGAAACTTTAAAACAAGTACCGATAATTTAAGAATTGAAATTATTGAAATTGATCTTCTCATTCTGTTTTACCGTGTAATAAAACTATATGATGTAATATACTTATATGAGATAATCAAACATCTATATTAAGCACACACTTTTATTGCAATTATCATATCTTAAATCCTGTGTTACAGATAAATTTATTTTGGTATGTTATGAAAACACGAAAACCAATGAAGAAAGCACAGACTGTGCTAATGATTTTATCATCATAAAATCTGAATGATTGACATGTTGCATGTTAAAGATATAACAATGAAGTATATGTTGTAATAAAATATGCTTCATATGCTAACTAGACACATGCTTACAGGAAAGTTTATTCAAAATAATGAGTATTCTAGGAAATTGTGTTGGCATTCAAATATCATATCGACCACTACGTTTAACTGTATTGTTATTTTAAAGAATAAAAGTGTTAAGGCTATTCAAAAAGTTT